GCGTCAGGTTGATCTCCAATATTTTGATCATTTTGGGGAACATGTAGTGAGTTCACTTGTTCACTTTGAATAGGAGGTGTGAAACTAGATACTTCAATATGAACATTTTCGTGCCCATCGCTTGGCGCTTGGTTACTTTGATCGTGAGCGGTTTCTTGACTCATGCTACAATAATAGAAATTCCTTCGTTAGGATTCTTGACGAGTTGACAACGGATATTTATTAAGACTATGTCGATGTTTAAGTCACTAATCGTGTCATAACAATGTGTCACTTCATTCAACAAGATTGAGCTATCCATAGCTTCTAGCAAGTAGGTTCCTTTGAATTTGACTGAACAGATTGTCAATACATAGTAAAGGGTAGCGATTCTTGATCGTCAGTTTGTCTGTCTTAACAGAGATGTGTAGTATCCTTGACCGTAAGTCAATCTTAGAGAGCACAATGGATTCTCTAAGCTGATCAAATAAGTCATAGATACGAAATAAGGATAACGTCAATTTCCTTGTATGATATTTCAACAAAGTTTTGCAAGGAATTGTTGCTGAATGAACTATTTCGATTCGTATAATATAATCGCATATTTGCGTCGTAATGAGTTAGTCATCAGAATGGGATACTTTTAGACAACAGAGTTTCTTGATTCTAGACGTTCGTGTTTAAATCAGCAATCCGATCATCTTCAGTCCACATGAGGATCTTTGACAGCAGCTTTGCGAATGTTATTCAACATTAGGCGTTTCTTCATAGTCGTCACACTTCTATGCGACTTTGCGAGATAGATCAGCTTCGTCAATCGCGATATGATAAGTACGTTGATAACGTATCACAATTTTTTTTTATTCTTTCGTCTCTTCACCGAGTACGAAAAATCTACTTGAGTCTATGCTCGATATAATTTCACTACTAACAATTGTCATCTAGTGAGAATTTTAACAAAGTCAATATTTATCTAATAAATTCTCATACCTTTCCTGGAGCAGAGGGATGCGAGAGTCGTGGATGTGACTGACACATTTTTTTTTAATTCAAATTTTGATCCGAAGATCGGTTTTAAAACCATTTGCTCCGATACCGAATTGTAACACCCTAATCCGTCCAGGTCTGCAGCCCCATTCGGACTAAAGTATTTAACTTGGTAATCGTAAAAATTTAAAACTTTTCAAACACACTTTATTAATCCCAATAATATTTTTCAATACATATACAATACGGAGTATTCAACAATATTGCGGAAGCAATTTTAATATTGACATATCATAAATTGTTTCAAAACTTGTCACATCCATCCCGACAATCTCGCCCCATCTGCCGCCAGGATCACATTATGCTTTCTGCTTACCTGCGTGTAGCAAATAAAACACACTACACGCTCAGCGGTAAAGCTGAGTAAGCATATCTAATGTGTCGAACATCCATATAAATTGAATCTAAATTCATAATAAATCATTTGATATCATGCACACAATGTTCATTTCAGACATTCACAGTTTTGGTATCGCTCAGTTCATATCAACACATTTTATTCAATTCAAATACTATTGCAATAGTGCTCTTAAATTATTCTTAATCTAAGGCCAGATCATAACAACGCTCTTAGCTATTCTTAGTCTAAGGCCAGATCATAATAATGCTCTTAGCTATTCTTAGTCTAAGGCCAAATCATAATTTCCATAATCACATTCTTAAAAGGCAATTATTAATCAGACACTTAAACTATCATTAGTTTAAGACAATTGATTTCGGACACTTAACTGCAGTCAGTTAAGGCAATCAGACACTTAAACTATCACTAGTTTAAGGCAAATGATTCGGACACTTAACTGTAGTCAGTTAAGGCAACAACAATATAGCGATTGATCAACATTAGATCGGACATTCCCAAACGAGTGATCCTCTAGTTTGGTCTATGAATCCCATTTATGCATTTTTATCTAATTCATCAAATGTTCATGTTTTCATAAGCCTGTTCTAATCCAAAATCTATTCTAGAGGTCTTCTAGATAGCCTTAACATCAATTAACTAATAGGTATATCTTAGAGTTCTTCTAGATACCGTTTAACAATACAAATCGTTTAATAATTATCAATATATTCATTACTCTCATGGCTGAATCATCAATAATCATTTTGACCAGTTAGTTCATTATTCATGATCATCCATAATAATCATTCATCATAATCATTAATCAACATAACAATTGATAACAAATAGCGGTCTAGTTTTTAGTGTTAACACTCTAACTTACCGTCATGCATCACATAATGTTTTATATGCCTAAAACATCATTTTTATTATACAAAATCATATTTGTATTGTTCATAATTAATTGTTATCAAAAATAGGATTTTAGAGCATATTTTCAGGAATATATTCGTAGCAGGATCTGGAATTGAGGAAAATAATTTAAAATAATCATTTAATTTATAAAAATTGATTTATATAATTTTAAATAATCCATTAATTCATAATAATCGATTTTTACAATTTAAATAATCAATTAATTAATTTTAATCGATTTTTACAATATAAATAATCGATTAATGCATAAAAAATCGATTTTTACAATTTAAATAATCCATTAATTCATAATAATCAATTTTTACAATTTAAATAATCAATTAATTCATAATAATCAATTTTTACAATTTAAATAATCAATTAATTCATAATAATCGATTTTTACAATATAAATAATCAATTAATTCATCATAATCGATTTTTACAACATAAATAATCGATTAAATGGTACTGACTTCGAACCACTGATCTGAATAAAATTCTAATCGATTTTTAGTAAGTAAATAATCGATTGTCGGCCACTGTTCATCATCTTCTTCCTCGGGTCAGTTTTAACATTACCATTTTTAATCACCAAACTTCAATTTAATTATATAAAAATGTTCTCCAATGTTCACAGATCATTTTAGAGTCATTAATTCGTAATTTTAACAACAATTTAATTGTTTATGATTCTTGGTTCTTCAAACATGTCAAACACAAAACTCAACCAAACGACCGTTTATGAACGTAGAAACAATCTATATGAACATTCTAGTCACTAGATATATCTACGGGCTTACATTGAAGTGAAACGATGATTCCGGCGGAAAAACGGCGAAACTTCCGGCGAACACCACCGCTTGCTCCGGCGACGGGAAGCTCTCCGAACAGCTTCTCTCGACTCTCTGAACTCTCCTCTAACTAATGGGATAATTTTGGTTTGAAAATGATGAAGAATGTATGGCTCTATATATAGGCCTGGGAGAGGGAGTTACGTTTGAAGTTTGAAGCCTGTGATTTCCTACGTTTGATTGCCGTGAGTGGAGGAGGCGGCTGCTATTTAATTCCTTCCAGTTTAGTTTGATTAAATTACTTCAGTTGGGGTACACTTTTTGGTCCAACTTTATCCAAATTGAAATCCGTTTACACCATTGCGATGAGACAGTCAAACTCTATTTAATGATATAATTTTTATATTTATTTGAAATACTTTTTCTGACAGCATATTTTTGGGTGTTGACTTTGACAAAGTCAAAATTGAATTAATTGATATGTAATTAAAATTAGTCTCATATTCAATCAATATTATTAAATATAAATACTTATTTCAATACATCATTTTACAAAAGTTCACATCTTTGACTTTTTCTCATTTTTATACAAATTACATATTTAAAATGTCATAACTGAACTTCTGTACATCAGATTATTTCATAAAATATACCGTTGGTTTCGTCTCTTCAAGACCTATCCATAAAAGTCAATCTTAACAAAAATTATTGACTCTAAAAATTCCTTCATTTTTGGTCAAACATAGAAATAATGCTTTGTTGAGTCAAAATATTGTTTCTAAAAATACTTTTATAATAGAATAACTTTTAGACTATGTTTTGGGGCGTTACAGGGGCGATCGATCGCCGATCTACGAGACGTAACAATCGGGATACGTCGACCAAGATTCGGTTCTGGAGACTCAACCAAAACCATCCGGATTGAAAAAAAGTACACACCGGAGGAGCCACAAAGCCAAAAGCACATTGACCGAGGCGGCACGGTCAATCCAAAAGTGGACA